ATCCCCCTCCCCTCCCCTCCCATCTTCTCTCTCTACCCCATCTACTGTAGTTCATTTCTCTACTTGTTTATTTTCCCATTCCCCTCACAACCTCTTATATGTAATTTTGTGTAACAATGAGGGTCTCCCTCCATTTCCATGCAATGAAAGAAATTATTTTAAAGTAATGTGAATTATATAACTTGCTGTATACAGAATCAACTTAATACAAACTGGTGATTCTTACAGGTGAATTTCCTTTTGCAAAATGTTTTGTTTGTGGGGAAATGGGGCATCTGTCCCGTTCATGTCCTGATAATCCCAAAGGACTCTATGCTGATGGTGAGTACTATTACCCTCATACGTCAAACTATCAAACATGACAAATCATCGTGCAGAGTTGTCATTTCATTTATTTACACCATTAATCAGTTTGTGCATGCATTTTTGAATAAATAGTAAAATCTCAAGAATTTCACAATTTTTTTTATCAAGTACTTTTAATGTACTGGAATTTTTGTACAATATGTCTTAATATATTAATAAGTCAGAAAAAAACTAAGGTGTATTTTTCAAACATTTTTTGTGAGAGTGTGTCATACATTTGTACTTTTAAACATAACAGAAGCAGAGGGATTACATATCAAAACTAAAAGATTTTTAAAATAATGTTATGTATTTAATCTCAGCCTAGCATCTCATTTTGGTAGAAAGGATGATATACACTACTCAGTTTTATTTCTGAATTTTTGAATTTTTTCCTTATCTGGCATGGGACCATGTAACTTAATTTAAGCTCAGCTAATGACTTAAGGTCCTACAATAAAGCCTGTGATGTCTAAAACATTAGGAGGAGATTGTTAACTGTTCATGTTTTAGCTGGCACCATCAGGGTATAGACACCTCTTTTGTCTTGTGCTGAGTTCCGACTGGAGAAATCCAGTGCCAAAACATAGCTTTTGGAGTCAGTCAGACGTGGATTGTAACCTTACTCAYGAGCTACAAAACTTTGATCAACTTACTAAACTTCTTTCATCTCAGTTTCCTCACCTATAAAATGGAGATGAGAAAACTATATTTCAAATTTTATTGATTCCAAGACACACATTTTTTKTAACCATCTCAAATCTAAATCAGAATAGATCTTATCTTTGTTGGGTCTCATATAATTGACTTTTTTTTTCTGGGGGATATGTGAAATAATGATACATCAGTATTATCTTAGATTTAGTAAAGTATGGCATTTACCTATTATGAGGATTAAATTGTATTATTTTCAAGTGCCTCTTCTGTTTCACTGTGTCATATAAAATGATAAAGAGGCTTAAAAACGAAAGGCAAGACGAGTAAATAACATAAACTTGAAATTTCAGCCAGATTTGTATCCTTTTTCTAAGTGGCTTAATATTATAAGCATGATTATAGTAATGCCTGAACACTAAGCAATAGTGTTTTACTGTTAAGTGAAAGATTCATTTAGAAACRTGTGTGTTGTAATTCACAATCTTGAAATGTCTCTTAAAATAAACAGGTGGGCATTTTTATTAGGGTTAAGAGGCCTGTCGATGGAAGGTACTAAAACAAAAGTTAATTTTATCCCTTTCCTAACTGCTTAATCCTCTCTGACCTGTAGAATAGAACAGTAGTGATTCATAACCTTTGTTTTCTTGTTTGTTTGTTTGTTTATTTGTTTTGCGGGGGGGATCATTGACCATTTGGGAATCCAATAAAAATTATGGACATCCTCCTCAGAAAAATGCATCTGTACACAACTTTTGTTACAAGTCCAAGACTCCACAGACCTTTGATTGTCTAACTATGATTAAGATCCAAGTTTCTGTGCCATGGTTCTTAGACAAAACCCTTCCACCATCTCTCTCTTCTCTTCTCTACTTGTACCCAGAAGGCCAAATTCAAGAGATAGTGGTTAGATAAAACAGTACTCTGGAAAGTTAAGAGGAATGGAGAATGAATCATTACTAGGAATGGTTGTACCTACATAGGTTTCTGGCTCCGGCTACTTTTACAGCTGACAAGGATGTGAAGATTAAATAAAATATGAAACTGCTTTGAGATATTGAAAGCCCTGTGTAAGTATGGATAGTATTCAATAACTTTGTTCTTTCAAAAGGTGGTGGTTGCAAACTTTGTGGTTCTGTGGARCACTTTAAGAAAGATTGCCCTGAAAGTCAGAATTCAGGTAAGTCCCTGGGCCTCTATTTCATAAGGGGGGTTTTATTACTTCTCTATTTTTGCTGCCTTTTGATATTAGTAGCTCATAGGAGTTCTACAGATCYTAAGATGACTTGTTTTCCTATTGCTGTTCTCAGAGGACAAACTGACCAATAAGCCTGAGAGGATACTTGTTTATAAAACATTTTATTCATTAATTTTTATATTTGGTAACTGGTGAATTTAATTATAATGGAGCCTAAAGTCTCCTTTCACTAAGAGAAAAATCAAAATATGAAAATATTTTTCAACATTAGGACGGGATGCACTCATACATGCTTTGCTTTGTGTGTACCTAAATGATTCAGAGTGATTGCAAAAACTGCCCAAAATATTAAAGATGTGCTAATGACACAGCAGCTGGCTAGTTATTTTCTCCCTGATGAAATACTAGCCTGTTCATCACAACTCCATAAATGTTGGCTCTACCTATAGCTGATTTGAGGAGGTGGGGATCATCATTCCATTAGTTTGCCTGGATTAGAATGATGATGATCTTGTATTAAAGAAAGCAAGGCAGTAGGATAGCCCAGCAGTGCTTCTTGAGGAAAAAAAGCACATTTCTTTTTATTTCTTTTTTTTCTTTTTATTTCAATAAGCCACAGTAGTACAGTATATCTGCCTCTTATTTCTTGCCCCTAACATTTAAATGTGAGACCCAAGAGTTCCTGTTTACAGTCTTGTCTAGAATAAGATAGTCTTTACTGTAGTTTAGGGAGTGAGATTGAAATGATGAAGTGGAATTTGAATTCTCCCTCCTGGGAGGATTGCCACTTCCCAAATGATAAGACTGACAAGCAGATGTTGTATAATTTCACAGGTGGAATCTTGTGCATTTAAAACCAATGCTTCATAAGTCTTGCTGTTTACAGACTCTTGGAATTCATTGACTCTATAATGATGAACTCTGGGAAAGAATGAAAGAGCTTTCTCATCAGTTTGTGCATTGCAAAGTAGTTGCTGCATTTCCCTAATTGGGATGAGAAATTGCCTGTGGTACTCTGAAATCAAGGGTTATAATCAATTACAGAATTGCTCACTTTCTATGAGTGATGAAGTCTTCCCTCTTTGTGATTATTCACGTCAAAACTAGTTCCTTTGCTAACCCAATATCAATTTAAGTGGATGCATTTGATTAGCCTTTTCCTTATATACTGACTTTTCTTTTACAGATCGAATGGTCACAGTTGGTCGCTGGGCAAAAGGGATGAGTGCAGACTATGAAGAAATTTTGGATATGCCAAAACCAAAGAAATCCAAAACAAAAATACCTAAAGTTGTCAATTTTTAATAACGTTCAGTACCGTTGTTAATTACTATCACATTGTTACTTTCCAAACTGGGCGTGCTTTACAAGTTAGGCTTCCTTAACCCCAAGAACAGTTTACTTCATTCTGTCCATCAATGAGTACTTCTACCGCTGTTTGGAGAAAGTCACTGAAGAAAAGCACAAGATGATTAAATTGGATTCTCTGAAAGAACTTGTTTTTAAAGGAGAAAACTTAGACAAAATTAAGTTATATAGTTGATTTTATATCTATGTATGTGTATGTATAATATATACATATATATAAAACAAAAGCATACTGCTTTGCATTTGTGAATGAATTTTTGGTCATATTGTTTTCTTGGTGTAAAATATCAATTTATTAGTATACTAGAAATTTTTAAATTGCCRTAAAGTCTGTATTTTTAAAATATTGAATAAAAATRCACTTRTTGTTCCCTGAATATCTGATTCTGTATTGAACTAGTCATTGTTCATTAATATCCATATAACAATCCCTTTGAAATTAAAATATTTTATGAATCCTGCATGGGGATAAGCAGGGATTTGGTTTTTGTTTCAGTTTTGACATAGTTAAGGATTATTAATGTTGGGGCCGGGGTTGTGGCTCAGTGGTAGAGCACTTGCCTAGCATGCATGAGGCTCTGGGTTCSATCCCAGCAACACATAAACAAATAAAATAAAGCGATTGTGTCCATCTACAGCTAAAAGAATATTTTCTTAAAAAAATTATTAATGTTAAAGTTGAGGGGTACCTCAGCATAACAGAAACTCTTTTGCCTTTGATTTTCAAGAAAAAAATTCTCACCCAAATTTAGTGTGCAGAATTTAACCACAATGATGACACATAACAGATTGTATATCAAACTTAATAGCATTTTGTTTCTCATGTTTTAGATGAGTCAGGGCGAGATGAAAGTATCACCATAATAGAGTTAGAACACTAATCAGAGACCCATTAGCTTCTTTGTCTGATTTGATGAATACATGCATACTTAATACATATATTTCACAAGGCTTGACGCTACCATTGTACTGTATAATGGAATGACTCTGGTGGTTTGTGTGTTTCATTTGAAATTTTACCTGATTGAATCCATTTGTAACTAAAGGAAACAGCTGTGATTAGTTACTGATGCCTCAAAAGCAAAATATTTACCAAATAAAAAAAGAAACACTTCTCTCTGTTTTCATGTCTGCACAACTCAACTGTTCCAATCTTAATAGGAGCTGTGCTTTTATTTTCTATGTGAGAAGAAAACATGATGACAAAATACTTCTYTGCATCCTGGAGCCAAAGAAAATGAGTGCCATTCAAAAGGAATTACACAGGCAGAGAAGGACAGTAAGGCTGCCTTAATCATTCAGTCTGAATATACCCAAACATTTCACCATCCTGTCGGGAACTGAAGACTGCAAGGAGGCTTCACTCCAGCTGCAAGTGGARTGTGTACTTTTTGGACAGTATTCAGTATATGGTGCCCATTTTGTCTTCCTTGGATCACTTTGTTTATATTGTAATGATCTATAAATGAGAAAGTGAGAGCATTAGAAATAAATTGCAGGTGATGAATATAACTTTAAGTACAGAACCTGAAAGGAATGCACCAGAGGTAGAAATTCAGGGAAATCCTGTTTCTTGAAAGGAACTATAGATGTTGGGTGTTGCTTAGTACCAAAAAGAAAGGCTGACATTTAATTTGTTCATTTGTTATATATTTCCCAAGTACCTGCTATGTTTCTGGTATTCTTTAAGGCACTGAGATTGTGATTGTCACTAAGGCAAATGTCCATAGGCATTCAGCAGATGAGGCTGAAGAATGGAATGGGGACTTTGGGAAAACAACAGAAAGGGATATTTGATTGTATTTTAAAAATATTTTGTTGAATCTCCTAAGACTCCTTCAGACCTTTGTAAATGTCATCTCTTCTTACAAGCTTACCTTGCACTTTTTTATGATGGACTCCTAAATCTATAGCAGTCCTATGATATTCCAGGTTTCAGTTCCATTTTCTTACCTGCCTGCTGGGCATTCCTACTGGGATGCTCCACTGACACCCCTAATAATATAGTCAAGTAAAGACAAGTCCTGACAAGGCTTATTTCGGGGGCTGCCAGACCAGATACACAGTATTCATTTTCTTGGAGGCTCCAAATCATTTTGCCCTGTCCAGTCGCTCCTCATCAGCTGCTGTGATAGTGAGGCTGCAATGAGGGCAACTTAAAATGTCACAAAACCCATGTTTTTACTGAGATTCAGCCACTTTCATAAATAAATATTGTTGCAAGCCTTTTGTTAGCTTCCAGAGTTCTGAAAAAGATGTATTTTAACAGTGTTTGCTAGTGTTCCCATTGCTTTCATGTAGACTTTCAGAGGTCTTTCATCAGTCTGAAAGTGCTCTGCCTGCTGGAAAGATATTGTTGTTTTTTTTTTTAAAATAACAGCTTTATTAAAATAGAATTTACTTGTCATACAATTGATTATTTAAAGTGTATTATTCAATGGTTTTTAGTATATTCACAGAGCTTTGCAATTATAACCACAATGAGTATTTTCCTCACTTCCAAAAGAAACCTCACACCTATTAGCAGTCACTCATCATTTCTACCCCACAAAGACCCCACCCGCCCCAACCATAGACAACCATGAATCTACTTCCCTTCCCCATAAGGGGAAGTTTTAAGCAAGGAAGGAACATGTCCTGACAAATGTACAAAATCTCATTCTGGTTCCTAGATAGAGGAAAGCTGTAGGAGCACAGGAGTGCACACAGTGAAGTTGGATCTCTCTCAGTGAGGGATGATAGTGTCTTAAGTTATGGTGGTGAAAGTGAAGACAGATGAGGAGAAATAGAAGTTAATTTTGTTTCTGGCAGGAGTGAAGGCCCTCAAATCAGTCTTGCCCCTGAAAATTACCCCCAAACTGTAGAATAAAGTTAATTTTTAAAGACTCCTTTAAAATATCAGTAAGTTTACAAAGAAGGGCAGAATCTGTAGAGGTCAAATACTAAGTGAATTCAAGAGCTCTAGAAGATAAGCCAGCATGTCTGCTGAACCCTAAAAACCTTGAGTTGAGCTGTCTGGCAACAAAAATTGCATAAAAAATATGAACTGTTTTTTTGTACTGGGGATTGAACCCAGTGACTTTACCATGGAGCAACATTCTCAGTCCTTCTTTGTTTTTTATTTTGAGACAGGATCTCACTGTGTTGCCCAGGCTTGGTGGGAACTTGCCATTTCCTGCCTCAGCCCTGGAAGTAGCATGGATGTCAATATAAAGCTATTAACAAAAACATAGGATAACATAAGGTCTTATAAATTTAACTGAACAGAAAAGAGAAAACTTTTTTAATGTGTAAAAATTTTCCAGAATTTTTGCAGAATTTTTTTTTCATAGATATTCTTCAATAGATGAATGGATAAAAAAATGTGGCATATACACACAATGGAATATTACTTAGCAATAAAAAGAAAATTAAATCATGGCATTTGTAGGTAAATAGATGGAGTTAGAGAACATAATGCTAAGTGAAGTTAGCCAATCCCAAAAACCAAATGCCGCATGTTTTCTCTGATATAAGGAGGCTGACTCATAGTGGAGTAGGGAGGGGGAGCATGGGAGGAATAGATGAACTCTAGATAGGGCAGAGGGGTTGGAGGGGAAGGGAGGGGGCATGGAATTAGAAATGATGGTGGAATGTGATGGACATTATTATCCAAAGTACATGTATGAAGACACTAATTGGTGTGAATATACTATGTATACAACCAGAGATATGAAACATTGTGCTTTATATGTGTAATAAGAATTGTAATGTGGAGCTGGGATTATGGCTCAGCGGTAGAGAACTCGCCTAGCACTGGCAGGACCCGGGGTTCAATCCTCAGCACCACATACAAAAAAGGCATTGTGTTGTGTCTATGTACACCTAAAAAAAAAAATGTAATGCATTCCATTGTCATATATAAATTTTTTAAAATTAAAAAAAAATAAGAAGACATGGGTAACTAGGTATTATAGAAATAAAGAAAAGATTTTAAAGCATTAGAGATAAAAATATATTCCTTGTGGGCTGGGGTTGTGGCTGAGTGATAGAGCGCTTGCATAGCACACATGAGGCACTGGGTTCGATCCTCAGCATGGCATAAAAATGAAATAAAGATATTGTGTCCACCTAAAACTAATATATATACATATATATATATATATATATATATATATATATATAATTAAAAAAGAAGAAAGATTTGACGTCCCACTATAACAATAATGGAAGCCAGAAAACAACATATAATATCTGCACTGTACTTTTTTTTTTAACAATGAAGAAAAAATGAAGTCATTGGAAGGTAAATAAAATAGGATTACCATCAATAGTTCCTTATTAAATAAAATTCTTAATGTTGTTCTTTGGGTAGAAGTGAAGTCATAGACTATGTAAGGTCTAAGAGGCAAAAAAAGAATGTTAAGAAAATATATTGGCATATTCACAGATATACTGAAATAAATATTGATGAAAAATAAAGATAATAATGTATAACTTGTAGATAACAATAGTGTATAAACTGGGAAAGTATCAGAATTAAAGTATTATAAAAATCTTCCTATTGTTTTTGTCCAGAAAAAGGATTTCAAATTTTTAAACTTTGGCAGGACTCAGTGGCGCACACCTGTAATCCCAGCTGCTCTGGAAGCTGAGACAGAAGGATGGCAAGTTCAAAGCCAGGTTCAGCAACAGTGAGGCACTAAGCAACGCAGTGAGACCCTGTCTCTAAATAAAAAATACAATCCCAGTGGGATTGAGTGCTCCTGAGTTCAATTCCCAGTATCCCCTCACCCCAAAAAAAGCTTTAAAACTCTGTCATGGACAGTTTCGGACAGGACCAAATAAAGTCAACACTTCCATCGCCTGACATAAACGAGGAGTAAACACCTATTTGGCCAAGAGTACAGATAGTGGTCCCCAATTCTCCTGGTAAACATCAAACAGTAATAAATTTGGAGACAATGTTGTCTCCTTTGTCATTCTCTGCCTGGAGATGGCCCACTCTTTAGAGGGTGCTTTCTGCCTAAGCTTCACTTTGCTTTTACTTTACTTTCACTTAATAATAAAGTTCTTGAATGGCAAAAACAAACAATAAAAACTTTTGTCATCGAGATGGCAAAGATGGGAAGGCGAGTTTATTCACTCAAAGAAAATGTATTGAATACCTAGTATGTACCAGGCAATGTACTGACACTGGAGATACAGCAGTAATCAAAGCAGAGAGAAATCATGGCTCCCAGGGAATTTACACTAATGGGGGATGACAGATAAGGCAGATAAAATGTATATGGGAGATAATGGTAAGTACTTACAAGAAAGAGAGGGTAGAATGGGGGTTCTCAYGGAGAGGGGTTTTGATTATAACAGGGGGCTTAGGAAATGTCCCTTTTAGAAGTTGATAGTTGAGCAAAGATCAGAAAGGGGTGAGGTGATAAAGCCTTGGCTGTCCTGCGTCGAGGGAAGAGATAACTGCAATTATTCTGAGGGAGAGCATGCCTGGTACAGTCCAAATCCAGCAAAGAGGTTAGAGTGTGAGTTAGGGATCTCAGCTGGGTTTACTTAGACAGCTCTGGCAATCTCAGTTAAGCTTGTCTGCCTCTGTGGTTTGGTTTGGGATTGTCTGATCTAACCTGGGCTCAGATGAATCAATTCCATTCTACATAGGTCTGTGTATTTTCTGTCTCTTTCTCTCTTCCTTTTCCATCAGGTTAACCCTGGTGTGTGTGTGTGTGTGTGTGTGTGTGTGTGTGTGTGTGTGTTAACGATAGTGGTAGAGATACAAGAAGACAAGACCATTTGCGAAAACACTTTTCAAGCCTTTGGTTGCATCTTGTCTGCTGATATCCTGTTGATAAATGACATGGTCAAGATCAGAGTTGAGAGGTTAGAAAAGTGCACTTCATTCATGGAAGCAGAAATGGCAATGAGAGAGTATTACTGAATAATCTCTTGTCCCATGCAGACCCTTATAGATCACAAGTGACACTTTGGCTTTTCCTCTGTGATACACAAAATTGTTCATGGATTTTGAGGAGAGATRATCAGTCTGACATGATCAGTCTGCTGGGCTAAGAGTAGAGTGGAGGGAGAAGCAAAAACAGAAACAGGAAGATGGGTGGTAATCCAGAAGAGAAGATGCTATTTTGAACTAGGGTTAGAGTGGTAAAGCTGATTCAAAGTAATCAGGTTCTGATTAAACTTTTAATACAGAGCTGATAGAATTTTCTGAACAAAAGGGAATTTGTGGAGGGAAAGGTGGCAGCATTAAGTGGTTTGTTTTGTAAATGTTGACTTTGAGGTGACTATTAGTGGAAATATCAAGCCAGTTGTTAGATAGATAGATAGATAGATAGATAGGCATAAAGTTTAACAGAGGTTAAGACAGGTGATATACTAGGGGAGTTTTTGAAAAATTTATTTATTCTAATTCAATATGTATGACAGCTGGATGCATTTTTATTCATTGTACACAATTACAGTGCAACATTTAATTTCTCTGGTTGTACACAATGTAGTGTCTCACCATGTGTGCAATCATACATGTTCCTAGGGTAATGATGTCCATCTCATTTCACCATCTTTCCTGCCCCCATGCTCCCTTCTCCTTCCCTCCCCCACCCTTGCCCAATCACAGTTCTATGGGAGTTATTAGCAAGCAGATTATTCTTTAAAACCCAGGGTCTTGCCACAGTGTGGAGACAGAGAGAAGCAGGCCAAGWACAGAGCCCTAGTGTAACCTGATATTGGGAAGTCTGAAGCTTTTAAATGTGGCTAGTGAATAGGAGGGAAATCTAAGAATGTGACATCACAGAAGCCAAGAAGAGAAAAATTACAGAAAGGAGGAATTAGTTAACTTCAGTGAAAGCTGCACAGAGATTAAATAAATTAAGAACAGCCTCAATAGATTTGGCAATAATTAGAACCCAGGTGAACCTGATGAGAATAGTCTTTGTGCGGTAGCAGAGGTAGAAGTATGATTGGGTGGAACAAAATAAGGATAAGAAGACCACATCTATAGATAAGTGAGGTAGAGATGGCATGGCATTTAGGAAATGGGATCAAACTGCTGCCTTGTTTTATTTTAAGAGATATTAGTGGCAATGGAAAGAATCGAGTAGGTTAAGGAACTCCTGATGCAGAGAAAAAAGGGAGCCAAAGTAGGGAAGCTCTGGAGAAGGTCAGAGAAATTGTTCTTTGCTAGGAGTAGAGATACTTCATCCATTCTAAAAGGGGAGCAAGCAGAAATGTGGAAGGTGCATTTGTGGCAATATAAGATGATCCTGCCTGATGGTTTGAACCTTCTTAATGAAGCATTTTCTAAAGTTTATGATTTTCTAGTAAAACAGACATTAGAAGATTGAGGGAAGAGGAGGCAGAGTAAAATAGGAAACATGCAGGAAAATACAGTAGCATTCAGACTCCTTGAATGGCTGTTTGAAATTTGTGGTCAGAAATGTAAAGTGTTGCCAGATGCGGTGGCACATGCCTGTAATTCTAGTGGCTTGGGAGGCTTAGGCAGGAGGATCTTGAGTTCAAAGCCAGCCTCAGCAATGGCAAGGACCTCAGTGAGACTCTGACTCTAAATAAAATACAAAAAAGGGCTGGGAATGTGGCTCAGTGAGTGAGTCCCTTGGGTTCAATCCCCAGTACCCACTCTAACAAAAAAAATAAAAAAATAAAAAAAAAAATAAAAAAAGAAATGTAAAGTGTTACCAGCCCACAAGTTTCAATTGAGAGGACATGGTGGTGGGGGGGATGAATTTTTAAGTGATATAAGTACCCATGTCTCCTCTACTCACAAATGTTTCTGAAAAGGTCACCAAATGGAAAGTGAAAGAAGCAGATGTGTAATTTTTATATGGTACTTCATACTTGCAGGTATAAAATGAGAAATTTTTAATCTAAAATGTCTTTGACTTGTGAATCTGGAAACAGGTTGCTGTCAAGAATTGTGAAGGGTCTGAGTTTCTAAATAATCTCATAAGTTAGCCTGTTTAGTGGATGTGAGCAGAAGACACAAGACTGTCTGTTCAGAGACCAAAGAGTATATTACTCATGACACAGTAAGCAGCATAAGTATCAGCAAGATTTTATTACTTTCTTTTCCTCCGCAAGACCTATAAGGGTGTCAAAATGGGTCAAGGTGAATATTACAGTTACAGTGAGTTTGTGTGGCTTCAGGTCTTAGAATTTTTTGAGCAAGTAGTAAGCACTCTAGCTAGTAGCCAACCAGCCAGTCCCTCCCCATGCCTCTCCCAGAGGGCAGTACACTGAAGCCATACTGTGGTCACCTTGACCTACTTTTGAGAATCAGGAAACAGATGAGTCTTACAGCCTTTCATATCAAGCAAGAATGTGCAAGACCACTCAGGGCCCATGGTGAGCTGCCTGTCTCAACAGTTACATTGTTTTCAATTGGAAAAAGTAAATCAGGAACAAACTTAATAGTTCTTATTTTCACAATCTATCCTAAGCCACAAAACTTGCTCCTTTACACATACTTTTATAGCATTTGTTTTCAAATTTACCCTTGTAACTATGCTGGTAAAAATTTCTGGGGTCATTTCTGAAATACGTAATGAGAAATATGAACAAAACCATTGGATAGTATGTATAAAGTGTTCTGGTTTATTTCAGTCTTTATTAAAATTATTCATCATTTTGCACATTTTTTTTCTGGATGTTTTTCTATAGCAAAAGTGACAGAAAAAGTGGATGCAGATAGCAACTCAGTTACATAAAAACCAGGAAGAATTAATAGGAACGAGCTCTTCTCTTAATCAAAAAGCTTTCAATCCTGCTAGAAGTATGTGGAAACCCTTACCATAAAAAAAGGGCACGACATCCTGAGTGTTGCTTAAAGGTGCTTTGRCACACCTAAGGAAAAAATAAGCGTAACTCCATTTCTCTGCTTCTTCTGTCCTTATTCTCCAGGGGACAGATGTTTGATGAACCAGCTTTCTTTGGAGCAATCACTTTTGCTTGAATTCTGGGCACCAAAGGGAATAAATGGAGGTGAGGTCTCTAATTCCACAGTCCCTAATTACCATTACCGTTCACTCTATTTCAGTCTCACCAGCTTCTCTGTTTTTCCTAGAATGTGCCAGAAACACTGCTCTCCAAAGATTGGGTCTCTGCTAGATCTTTGGCAGGATGCATGCTGTATTAGGAGTTCTTCATGGCTCATTCCCTCTCTGTCTTCAGGTTTTTGCTCAAACGATCCTCAAATTAAGCTTTCTCAACCACTCTATATAAAATAGCAACAACCACTTCTAATTCCTCCAAGTACTCATCTTCTTTAATGGCTTTATTTTTCCATAAAACACACCTTCTGATATCCCACATGACTTACTTGTTTTTGTTTTCGTTTTTTAAATATGATCAGCATATTCCTGTTCCTTGCTGAACCTGTAGTGCCAAAAAGTGTCTAGCACAAAGCAAATTCTTCTTGCTAATATTTATTGAATACATGAAAGAGTCATAGGACCTATTCTGATTAAAACAGGAAAATGTAGGGCTACAGAATTTCACAACTGGAGTGCCTAACTGTGGCATTATTTTGGACAACAGATTTCATATTTTTGGTGTGCCCCAAGTAGAAACTGATGCATTGCTRTCTTTTAGCCAACTATGCCCTTTCAAAGTTTCTAAGGAAAAGTAATCTTTAAAATGAGCACTTTAATTTGGGCTATGCCGAATGATCCAAGAAASAGCTAGGTGTTTGTTCAGAGTCATAAAAGTGAAATATTTGAGGAAGGTTAGAGGGAATTGTGTGATATGAGGATAGGTGAAAATGGAAAAGAGCAGGACCTGTCTTCTCTATAAGACTGGAGCAAWTTAAATGGACCAACAAACACTATTAAAGGATCCTCTATAATATTCTTTATCTGTACTGTCCAATATTACTGTAACTAACCATATGTGACCAGTAGTACCTTGGAGAAAATCATGTAGGTACAGAATATGCCAATGTTACACAGCCCCCGGCCCACACTAGATGCAATTTTGCTTTCCATAGTTTCAGTTACCCTCAGTCAAATGCTGTCTAAAAATACTATATAGAAAATTCCAGAAATACACTTCATGAGCTTTAAGTCATGCACTATTCTGAGTAAACTAATTAAATCTCACATAATCCTGCTCTGTCCTGCCAGGGACATGAATCTGTATCCAGCATATCCATGATGTTTTTTCTTACCTGCCCTTTAATCAATAGCCCTGTCATGAAACTGCAGTACCTATTGACCTTCAAGTAAGAAGGTCCACAGTAGCTTAATGCTCCATCACAATGTCCACCTCATCTCACCTCAGTCTGTCTCATCACAGGCATTGCATGGTCTCCCAGCATCACAACAGACAGCACAATAAAGCATTTTGAGAGACAGAAAAMCACATTCACTTAACTTTTATTACAATATATTGTTAAATTGTTCTATTTGATCATTAGTTATTGTTTCTAACCTCTTATTGTGTCTAATTTGTCAACTAAGCCTTTTATCACAGGTATGTATATACAGGAACACACATAGGACAGGGTTCAGCATTATCAGTGAATTCAGGCATCCACAGGGGTCTTAGAACGTATCTCCCAGGGCTAAGGTGAGACTACCGTAAATGAGAGTAAGCACCATCTTTATGTCTCAGCGTGAAGCRGCTGAAGTCACTTTACTCCTTCATCCTCACAATATTTCTGTTCAGGAAAAAGTTTTTAAAAAATATAAACTCAAAAGTTGAGGCTAGGCAGACAGCATTTATAAGTATCTTAATTGGAGAAGTCTAAAATTTCAGCATACAAAATTTAATGTAATGTAACCCCTTTATTACTATTTTTTACCTTTTTTAATATAAAAATATTCTCAAATTTTTTACTTCTGAAGGTAATGAATAATCATCTTCATCTAAATATCTATGCTTCATATTATATATAAGTGCTAATTCATAAAATTGCAGCACAGTCCAAAATTCACATATGCAAAATTTTCACATATGTAAAAATCTCTTGACAAATAAAAATACTTTAAGTGTAAAAGTAAGTAAAACTACTTATGACCAGCTACAGACTGTGTGTGTAGACAGGTGGGAGTAGGGGTGGAGCCTTGGCAAACCAACACCAGGATGAGTTCCACCTGGTAAGTCCTCCGAACACTAATGCAGAACTCCTTCAACAACTTATAAAAGTTGTCGGTTAAAGGAGGCTGACTTGACACATTCTTCTTTGTCTTAAGCRTTAAGACAAATCCTAGAGTGGAATAACGAATGTCAAAGTCTATCCCCTAATAAAGTGCTAATGTAATGATTATGAAAGAAGAGCTCAGTTAATACTCACTTTCTCTGCAATATCACATCTTGCAGGTACTTTGTGTGTGTATATATAGCAATAGATACTAAATTGGCCAGCCACCTTGAATATATGTAAAATGACACTAGTAAAGTAGTTCCTATTACTAAAATTGATTGGATTCCATTAYGTTTTAATGCCTTCATAATTTAAAGCTCTAAAACATGTAATACATCTTGTCAGATGCTCCTGACTTGCAGATACCTGCTGCACATGAGATGCCACCACACGTTAAATGAACYTACAGCAGATCAGCATTTTATGTTTTATGAAATTTCAAGCTCATTGTGCCTCTGTAACCTAAACATGTTTTTGATGATTTTTAACTATATTTGTACCATTTTACACAACATGTGACACTGCATCCAGGCAATCTTCCAGTATCTGTGCTGCTAGAAGAGGCAGAGCCACAGATCATCTATAACAGTTTTAAAGCTCTTTCAATGCTAATCCAAATCACTAGGATTAAACTTGATATACATTTCAGTTTGGTATTTAACTTCTTAACTGCATTTTGTTTAGGCTCATATTAAATCATTCTGTGGCCCCCAAATTTGGCAAGTGTCAGGACGAAGGCACTTGGAATTAAGAGTAGGAAATTAAACTGCAAGTAACTGAAAGTTGACCACTTAAAGTCCACTGATAGGTCCATCATCAGTAGCATTCTCTATGAATTTAATACAAGAGGCTGCTGCTTCTTCAATGGATTTTGACCAGCCACCAAGATTTCCAGCGAAGTATGGAAGGATGCTAGCTGACATCTGGTTAAGGTAAGACACCTGTTTCAAAAAGAAAACACAATATTTTAAGTTTTTTATTGGCTTGGAGYTTTTTCAAGCAGGGACCTGAATCTTGGTTGGTGGAGGGGACGCTATGATCCTAAACTTCTGGGGACTTTCTGAAATGGATACRAAGTGTGGACACATGACTACAATTAATTAAGAAATCTGGGGACATGAAAAGATTCTTCCACATTTGGAGCAACTAATAAATTTGCAGATGCTTCATCAAACTTACAGTGCATGAAGTACTATCAATAGCCTCGATAAGAAATCCAGCACATATGACTTCACTTCTGATGTACTGTGGAGACGGTGGGACTGATGGCAGGATGATTGACTTGGCTGCCACCATGTAGGTGTTGCTGAAAGTTAAGAACACACATTCCAGGTTCTTGTGAGAAACAAAGAACAGTCATTAGGAAATAAACTATAATTCAATTTATTTATTTATTTATTTTTGCAGTGCAGGGGATCAAACCCAGGGCCTGGTGCATTCTAGGCAAGCACTCTACTACTGAGTTGTACCCCTAGCCCACAAAGCAATTTGTTTATCCATGTAAAAGCAAAGCTTCTGTCTAAGTGGCTTGCATCAGAAAACCTTCTCTCTGGCTGCATTCAATTGTAGGGCCATTGGTATTTTCAATTGTAAGGGCCATTGGTATTTTCTTCTTAAGAATTATACATATTTTGCAAAACTTCCCAAAGCTGGAGTCAACCTCCAAATTAAAGTTTCCTTACATTCTAAAGGGTTGTAATTTCAGTTTCCACTCCCTTTATATTAAAAAGAAAATAATACCCATTGTTTTAAAGAACCTCAAACAACAGAGAACCCTGTAAGCTAGAAAATAAGAAATTCCCTTCTTTCCACTCTACCTGCAATCCTCTTCCTCACCCTAAAGCACTCTTCTTCATATTTTTTGTGGGTAGTTCTCTAGTCTTTGCTGTATAAAAAATTATATTAACATCTGTAGAAGAAAATGCACACATGTAGATAGATTTTACATACACATGTATGTTATAATTATGATTTCACCTAACAATAAATCTGTTTCTGTATTAGTGTCTCTATAGGTACTTCATTGGCACACTGCCTTGGGATTAATTTGCATAATTATTARGAAAGAACTTTAGTGCATTTCTCATCTTTTGATATAACATATGATACTCTAGTTATCCACGTGAGGGAATATCTGGGACATCRCCCCTGAGACACCACACTCTGAGGAGTCTGATGAACACAGACCAGTGCCCCAGTTGATCAGTTGATGGCTGGTGCTGGATGTCTATCTAGCATAGTTGAGCCTCTGTGAATCCTAAACAAACTTTTGGAATTTATTTGCATTCACTGCCTTTTTTTTAACTTAAAATGGAATGTTTTAAAAGGTTTGCTAAAATTCAGGTTTACATCTCTACAGAGCAACAGGAAACAGAACTGCTTGAGAATCCTTGCATGATGCTTTGCCCATAGCTGGCACCTAATATGTGRTTGTTCATGTTTTAAATGGCAGCTAAAGATTCATCCAGGAAAAAMATTAAATGAATATCATCCAAGACCAGAAATGCCTATGTTGGCTTCCTTACTTTCATATTAACTCTCCATTTCTAAGCTATACTATAAGGTATTGTTAGGACACTGGAACTGTGGATACTTACCCATCTTTGAGAGGCTTTCTTCGTGATACAAGTACTATRAAGTCTTTGGGTTTGTCACTATTGACCTCAGAACAGATGATGTAATATATTTGATCATTCTCGTTCACCCTGTCTATGACTTCACAGAACCTATGTAAACAGAACAGTGGAAAATGGGCACACTTTTCTATCTGCTAGAATAAGGCATCCACTTCTCCAATTAAGTGCACAGTCTCATTGTTGGYATCCATATTTGCCCTTCAGCTCACTTAACCACCCACCCCAGAACCAGCATCATTGCTCAAAAGCTGCCTTTGGAATGAGCTGTTTGGTCAAAAGGAGCAATTCTGCATGTGATGGAAAGGGTTTTGGCCAATTAACTCCAACTTCACTGCCCTGGATACTTCAGAGGAAGACATTAATCTGTTTTCCACAAAATTATTTTTCTCTAGGGTYAAGTAAAGTGAATTATACAAACAGTTCAAGAAGGACTATTAGGTAAAGAAATAGGATATGTATGACATATTGGAAAGAGCACTAAGTTTCTTTGACTTTTGAGTCTCAGATTGCCATTTAGTAGCCATGTGACATTAGGCAAGTCATTTTGTTATTTCATCTGTGAGGTGTAGATAATATCTATGGGATTATTGTRAGGATTAAATGAAAACAGAACCCAGTGCCTGAATCACAAGTAGGTGTACAAGAGAAGTAAGTTGAATTAGAATTGATTCATTCATTCCTCCATTCATTCAAGTTCAATTTGAATGGTATGTCAAGTCACATAGAGAATTCTGGGAGAGATATTTTAAAAGAATTAATGCCAAACTTTAGACATTGTTCTCCCTAAGAATTTTGTGTTTGTAGAGAATTTACAAATATTGATGCAAGAAAATTTAAAATGTTTCCTCTTCTCAGATCATTTTATTAGTAACTATTCAAATCTAACATAAGACTCCAGAGATGTTTCACCTTAGTGATATTAAATTGTCTATTACATGCTATTAATCACAGTGAGTTTTAAAAACTTTAAAGATGTGCCTCTATACTGTCAACATTTGGCAATAAATAGTAACACTTAATATAAGAAGAGGTCCATGCAATCAGCCCTTGCTTTTCAGCAAGGCATCTGTGAAACACTGTAGSTGAGAGAGCTGGACTGAGTATAGGTGACAAGGTGCGTGGCAAGGTGCACAGCTCTGTACAGTTGTCTCTCCGTATCTTCAGGAGATTGGTACCAAGATCCCTGTGGATACCAAACAGTGTGGATGTTCCAGTCCTTCATATAAAATGGCATAGTATTTGCATATGACTCATGCACACCCTCCTTTATAGTTTAAATCACCCTTAGATTACTTATACAATGAAAATGCTCTATATGGAGTTATCCTGTCTTGTTTAGGGAACGAAGACAAGAAAAATGTCTGTATGTGTTCAGTATAGACACCGTACTTTCCCTAATATTTTTAATCTATGGTTAGTCGAATACTCAGACGTGGAATCCATGAATATAAAGAGCTGACAAAWTTTCAGGAAAGGAGAGATCATGGAAGAGACTGAATTAGGAATTAGGAGGAGTAAGAGCAGTAGATTGGTGGCAGCAGGCACCCTGTGCATCATGGCACACATGGTGCTTAGGGAGTGGGAAGGAATGCCTTTCCATCAGGATTCCCTGCTTGTTCTGACAGCTTCTTGCCAGAGAGCATTGCTTCACAGATAAAAAAGAGACTTTCTGTTAAAGGCCAAGAGTGCGGAGGGCATTGGATAATCACTTTGTTAGGAGCAATGAGGCTGTCTGTTAAAGTAGAACACTGTGGACTTGGGAGCCTGGCAGAGCTGGATTCCAATTCAGGTCCTATCACTCTGCTGCCTGTGCAATCTCAGTAGGTCTCAGAAACAGGAATAACATCAACTTTAATGCTATTGGGAGTATTACAGTAGATGTGGGTAAAGCATGTCAACTCAATGTAGACCAATAAGTGAGCATTCATTTTTGTTTTGCATCTTTCAATATCACCTGAGGTAGTATTCTGTGCTGAACAAGGTTTAATAATTATTCTTAATTAATAAAACATTAGGCCCTGGAGAGAACTACAATATGGAGGGCATCTTTTACATGATGTCAGGGGTGATTAAGAAAAATAATTAAATTTCTTCTTACATGTAATGGGGGTCCCACAGTGGTCGCTTTGTAAAGTCCGACAAGAGACAATAAGCCAAGTTTGCTGGGCTTTTCACATGTTTTTCAACCCAAACAGATAAAACATCTTGCTCTTCCAGAGTATATATTTTTATCTAAAAGATATTATAAGAAAAATTAAGTTACAAGAGAAAAATTAATGTTTTGCTTTGAAAAAATATATATATATATATATATATATATATATATATATATATATATATATAATCATAGATCAATTACATGAGCTAAAAGACACCTTGTCACCTGGATAAAAATGAAGCTTCAACATGACAATTTGACCATGAATACTTGGGTATCTAGAAATCTGACCAGGATGTTGATCCTATAAATTAAGGGTGAGTTTTTTTTACTGTGCAATAATTTTTTTCTTTAAAAATAAAGAACATTAGTCTTTCTCTCTTGATCTCCTTGTGATGTTTMCCTGCCTCTACCCAGAGACAACAGGAAATATCACTAGACTGCTAGGCAGGCCAGTTCCTCATGGCCCCCAGTGCTATGGCTTAGGACACTTTCCCAGAATATCAGCATATCTTCAAGTGGGCTAAGGGGACCCTGGATGCAAGCCAGCCACCTCCAGAACCAACTYAGTCTCTCAATAGGGCCCCTAAAACACCCTATTTCCTCAGTACAAAGCATTTTTTTGATTTTTGTATCAGCAGGACTCATCCTTCTGCAAGGCTAGTTCCTGTGTTTCTAATGTATATTATTCCTTAGATAAGAGGAGGCCCATCTTGGGGAGCCATTTGACATATACTTAAACATTAAAGCATCCCTTGTTATTCTGAGCTTTCCTTCTACTGTGCTTTTGACAATAATCAAGATGTGTTTTCTGCTAAGAGCACATTTCTTTTCTGCTCATTTTCTCTATCTTTTTCACGGTACTTTGAAGTTAGGGTTGAAATTTGCCATGTTATCATTCCCATGGCAACAAAGTGTGAGAAGACAAACAAATATGAGGTTAGGCCTTCACTGCAGGAATCAGGCAGATGGAAAAATCAGGCTATGAAGGAGAAAATTTTATTTAAATATATATAACATTCATTTAAATTTTATATATATATATATATATATATATATGTGTGTGTGTGTGTGTGTGTGTGTGTGTGTGTTTATTTATGTTTAAATAAATCATTTATTTAAACATAAATAAACACACACATATACATATATATAATCAATAAGCAAATACAAAAAATGAGAAATTAATTAAAAGCAGCATTAAGATACAAATAGTGATTATTTTTATTTCTGCAAAGTACCTCTCTTTGATGCCAAGTATGTCTTCATATCCAGTATGCAAACGCAGATGTGGCCTAGGATGTGAGTAGGTCTCAAACTCAAAGAAAAACATGGATGGAGCTCTAGCAGGTTGCTGAGACCCACCCTTCTTAGCCCAAGAATGCCTACCTGTGCCCCCAGCACAAGGGGAGAAAAAGAAGATCATTTAAATCCAGGAGGAAGTTACTTTCTCAAAACATAGTGGCCAGGTGGCTCTAGGACAGACTGTTGGGGCTCTGAAATTTCAGAAGAACTAAGGGTATGTGGCCTGGAGGAATTCTGGATCCTTGGTCATATTGTGGCCTCAGGGCAGCCAGATTCCTTGGTGAAGCCAGAGTGAAGTGGGATATAATATTGGGCTAAACACTTATTAAGAGTAGAACTGTGTTCTCTCCTCCTCAAATTCATGTTGGAGTCCTAACCTCTTGTATCTCAGAATGAGACCTTACATGGAAATAGGGTCATTGCCGATAATTAGTTAAAATGAGATCACATTACAGTAGGGTAAGCCCCTAATCTGACATCTTATAAAAAGGAGAAGTTGGACATAAACTCACACACAAGGAGAGCAACACCTGAGGATGAAGACAGATTCATCCAAGGATGCATCAAAGCCAAGGAACGCAAAGATTGGCACAGTGCCAGAAGCTAGGTGCAAGGCATGATCCTGATTATTTCTCTTTCCCTCAGAAGCAACCAACCCTGCCAACATGTTGCTCTCAGACTCCCAACTTTCAGAACCGAGAGACACTGACCCAGTGTGTGGAATCCTGTGATGTCAGCCCTAGGAAGCTAATGCGGCACTTTTCTAGGGAGCTACTCCCCAGGCTACAGACATATTGCTGCTGCTTCTTATCATGGAGCCAAAGCCAACATCAAGCTCSGTAGATACCACTAAATTCTGCCTTTACAGAGCTCCCTTGGCATATTGAATGCCAGGAAGAGTAGCAGGGGAGTACATGAGGTTTTATTTCCTCCACCAGAACGTGAGGACCGCAGAGTCCTCGTTGTCCCACTGCCCAGATCATCGACCTGGCTGCAGAATGGACAAGAAGACAGAATGGCTAAGAAAAGACAGCTTTTGTTCCATGAAAAAAAAAAAATTCTCCAAAGACAGTTCTCTAAGAAAATGACTTCCCCTTTATACTCAGGAGAACAGAGGATAAATTCCATTTGTAACTGAAATGTTTTTTATCATCTGGTGGTTGGAGAATGGATTCYGTGAAACGAAGCTTAAAAGTAGGCWCAAAATTTGCTGAAATGAGCTTTGTTAAGATTTTATTAGTGGTGTGTTTATTCATTCTAAGAAGACTCTGTTTGAATTTGGTTTGAATATCACACAAACAGTACAAGAAGAAATAACCAAACTTTTAAAATTTTTGTACTGTTTGTTGACAAATGTTATTGAGATTTCATTATGGGAAATAACGCGAAATTGGTTTTTATAAAAGCTTATAGGGATTTCGGACTTTCCTTGGAGGTACTTTGGATAACCCCAGGGCTAAGGGGCGGGGGTGGGCAGGCAGAGCTCCTCCGGCACCACCCCACCCTCAACTTCAATAGGAGTTCTGGTCTATTTCCTCTTCTGAGTTTCTGTCCTGGGAAGAGGTTTTCAGGTGGTTCATACCCTTCTGACTTTTACTGTAATTTTCCCAGACATTCTCAGTCACTCCTTCATGAAAAGCTACTCTCCTGTCAGGCCAGTTTCCTTCTTGGGGTAATTCATGTCAGAAAGACTCTGCTCAAAAACATTCTGCTTAGAAATCCTCTCCACCCTCCAGTACTCTACTTCTGATACCATCTTCCAAGAGATTAAAAAATTAACCCCTCTTGGCCTTTCACCCTAAGTAGGTCTTACTTTACTTTGAATTGCCTGGGAGTTAATCTTTTCAACTTAAACACTAAGTTCTCTCACCTGTTTACAAATTATTATTAATTATTCTTCAGCAGATTTATGTACAGGTGTGGTGTTCCCAAAATACATCTTTTGCTTCTTGTATTATTATCATAATTAATTTCACATTTACTGTACACAGAAAATGAAATATAAGTTAAATTTTATTTCAAACACCATACTTTTACTATCAAAATAAGCATCAGCTTAAAAATCTAAAGTAATTATGATTTCTAACAGAGAACTGTAAGAATTATTCAACTAAATAAAGTTTTTTTTAAAAAAAGAATTCTTCAACTGAATCGTGACAGAGAAAAGAGAGATGTATTTTTAATAACTTTTTATTTTATTTTATTTATTTTTTTAATGCGGTGTTGATAATTGAACCCAGAGCCTCACATGTGCTAGGCCAGTGCTCTACCACTGAGCCACAACATCAGCCTGAGGACTGCACTTTAAAATTAAAAATATTAAAGTTGTAAACAGTGGGAGAGAAGAAGGGGATAACTCAGAGAGAAAAAAATTTACCAGATTTTTCRAATCAGATTTTTGTTATAAATAAAATATTTAAAAGAAGAGATWCAAACTCAACTGGGATAACACAAGATTTCTCCTTTAACCATACAATATTTTCTGATTCATATTTATATAAAAATTAAGATTTAATCCTCGATGGCACTCCTACAAACTCTGGCAAGTTATTAGTTGGGTTTGTTTCTGACCACAACTTCCAAAAAAAGTGAGGTTTGAATACATGATAAAACTCACTAAAAATGTTCTTTTGTTTCATTCCAGACAYGAATTTGTGCTTTCCATTGCTGCTTATGAATGTTCAGGTGCTAGAACAGAAAATTAGAAGCTGCCTTTGTTAGAAGCGCTGACTCTTCATTTGGGCCTATAGATGTCCAATGGGTAACTAAAAGCAGGATCAAGCTTGGCATCCCTGCCTTCATTTCATATCCTCCTTCAGATTCCTGCTCAGYTCTGCACAGAGGAATGTTCATCCTTTAAGAACTGTTCATCTAAAAATCTGTGACATACGGTTTGTTAGCCCTAAATTTATCTAATCTRCCTTGTCCTCCTCCTTCAAGACTGAGGATATCAAGTTAAGAGTAACTAAGGTATTTTCAATATTTTCAGGGACAATCAACTACCACCTTTTATAACATCCTGTTCCAGAACTCTGGAGTGGTGTATAGAAGTCTCTAGTTTTTGTTCAACATGTTCMAGGAATAGCAGCCCCTGATGAGACCTCCCTGTCCCACTCCCTGCAAGCAGCGGCAATCATTTCAAGGAAACCAAGTTGCCCCTTTCAGGTTCATAGATGACTGTATGCACATCCTGAGCAGCAAACGGAGACCACCCCCTCAAGGACTTCTCCAGAGCCACCTCTCAGAACCAGAACTAAGACAGTGATCAACCAGACCCAAGTTTTTCCTGCCCTAGTTCTTCCTCTATTTAAACCTAAAGTTGATGTTGGTACCCTGAAGACAGGGCTGAGACACTTGATCTCATTTTGCCTTCCCAGTATGGCTGTATTGATTAAAGTTCCTTTCCTGCTTTTCACCACTGCTTTTTCTATTTTGTTTTGGGGCAAGTGACCAGATTGACTATTTGGGACCCCTAGAGTCAGACCTCTGGCTTGGGACTCCTATTACAATGCCAGCAATGATGTAAAAAACAGATTTCATATCAGTAAAAGAAAATGAAATATTGAAGCATGTTTTATGAGAGATAAAAAGAAACAAATACTTTAGTTGTATTAACCCTGTGTTTCTGGGTCCCTGAACAAAGCCAAGAAAATTGAAAACCTAACTGGATCCAAAGGGAGTAAGGAAGCCCCTGAAAAGATTCAGTAGTGAGGGCAAAAATATAACAAAAGCAAACCACCAGAAATAAAACACACAGTGAAGGTCAGAGATGAAAAGAATCAACGAAGTAGACTTTGAATTTACTTAGATTTCAGGATGAGGTAATGATACAATCCATCATCCAAACTGGAACACTGAAGTGCTGTTATAGTCATGATGGGACAACAGGTATCAACTAGAACCGTCCCAGGAAACTCAGGACATCTGGTTGTTCCATTTCCTTGGGTTCCATTCCACTGATGATGAAGAATGTATATAGTAAGACATGAACACAGCCAGAGAACCCACATTACTGAGCATCTACTGGGTGCCGGGCCTTTATAAGGTCTGGGAATGCATTTGGGAGCAAAATGGTCCCCAGAGACCTTACAGTCTAGTTAGTATAAGCATCAGTTCCTAAGAGTCTCTTAACAGTCCTTGGAAAAAAGCTAAAATTAAAATCCAAGTGATATACGTTTATTAAATTTGGTGATATGAAAAGCACTATAAAAACTKCTAGGAGAGATACAAAGAAATAAAGACAAGTCTTCTTTCTTAAGAAATTTATAATCGAGTTAGGAATGATGTAAAAAGTTAAATTGCTATGTAAGGCTTAAATATCAATTCATGGTGACTATGGAATAAATGTCACAAGACAGTGCAGAATTAATTGACAAATTAACTTTAAATAAATCATGATAAAAGGAGCTGCCAGAGGGAAAGTTCATTAAGGATGGGAGTGACTTCACGGAGTAGCACGGAGTCCTGACTTATGAAGACCAGGTTGGATTTGGGTAGAAGGAGATGTGGAGGAGAGGGAGAGGTAGGATGCAAGAATCTAAACTCAGCCAGGTGTGGTTGTGCACACCTCTCTCTAATCCCAGTGGCTCTGGAGGCTAAGGCAGGAGGATCACAAGTTCAAAGCCAGCTTCAACAACTTACCAAAACCCTATGCAACTTAACAAGACCCTGTCTCTAAAAATTAAGAAATAATTTGAAATTAAAGTGAAGAAGAAGAAGGAAAAGGAAGAGGAGGAGGAGAAAAAATAAAAGAGCTGGGGATGTGGCTCAGTGATAAATCATTTCAAGGACCAAATCAACCATCACGTAGAGACAGGACTGGAAAGATGTTTCCCTCTTAAAAACAGTTTCCCCAAAATATTTTTTACCGTCTTCAAAGCAACAAGAGGAGCAACAGACCCACTTCCATCATGCTAACTTTGTGACGGGAGTGGTGGTGTAGATGCCTATGTGTCTCCTACCTTTTTTGAAGAGCTGATAACCTCCCAGCCCCTTTTAGCCGCCAGCTTTCTGAATGCCTCCACATTGCCATTACTCAACGATACCTAAAATACAAATATTTTAAAAGCAGTATGTTCAATGTATAGACATGAGAACAAATATTTTCTGGTTAGAAAATGGGCACTGTAGGATTATTCATAATTTTACTAGAAAWTGCCACATTTTTTCCATGTGGGCCTAAACCATTTTATATGCACAGCAACAACATACGAGAAGGTTCTTCCAGAGTCACAAATAGCACCTTATCCAGCTGTTGAATTTTTGCCAGACTAAAAGACCCTAAATATTTCAGGTTAGTTTTATTTAGATTTCTTTTATAAAATTGAATATCTCATGCATTTGAAATCCAATCACATACATTTTGTGAATTATCTATTCTTGTCCTTTGCCTATTTTTCTGTTGGATTTTATTATTCCTCATTTTTAGACAGATAAGGCCTAAGTTAAGATCTAAGACAGACAAGATCTATCTAAGATAGAGATAAGGTCTTATATGACATAAGATTTTTTTCATATAAGTAGCAATATTTTCCCCCAATTTCTCACTTGCTTTTTGACTTTGCTTATGGTTATTTTTTTGTCAAATAATGATAAACATGTTGTGTAGTTGGAAAAATAAAGAAAAAAGGGGGTACTGTTAGAGAATGTGTGTGTTAAGCTGAAGTGATAGTGCTGCTAAATAAACTTGGGTTTACCTTTATATTTTATATTCAAACATTCAAATGATTACTACTTTGTTGTTTTATAAAATGCAAAAACTAGGCCAGGGGTGTAGCTCGGTGGTAGAGAACTTGCCTACCATGTGTGAGGCACTGGTTTGATCCTTAGGCCACCAAAAAAATCATATCTGTATGAATTTGTAAATGCTAGCTTGTGGGCATGTCATTCAGCACAATTATGGTAAGAAACCAGATCAAATTATTAGGCATCCTGAGTTTGTAGTTTGGGAACTATACATAGAAGTCGAACCAAGACAGTGAACAAATGGGTGTTAACAGTACTGGTATCTTGGTTTTGCTTAATTTTGAAATGATGGGTTGTTATAATTCACCTTTTCATCTAACCTGTGTAGGTACAACCTGAATTAGTTAAACAAGAAGATTTCCTTTTTTATAGTGTTGAGCTCCAAATCATAAAAATGTTACCTGCTTGCTTTCATCCCACTGTATGCAGAGTGGAACTTCTTCTTTGTGAGAAATAACGTATTTCCTGGAAAAAATTAAAATGTTAAATAACAATTTTCTTCCCTGCATTTAACACACAATAGTAACCATGAGCAGCTGGGATTGTGGTTTAGCAGTAGAGTGTTCACACCTACCATGTGTAAGGCACAGTGTTTGATCCTCAGCACCACATAAAATAAATAAATAAAATAAAGGTATTGTGTCCATCTACAAATATATATATATATATATATATATATATATATATATATATATATATGTAACCATGATATATTCTTGAACTAAACTTCCAGTTTAAAAAAGCTGCTTTTACTGACAGAACCAAGAAGAGCCATTTCAACATGTCAGCAGATTTTACAATCAGAAACATTAGTCCTTTTCTTTTTCCATTATATGGGAAATACACATGACTTTGAAATGTAATTTGTCAGTAAGAGAAGATTCCATGGAACCCTCACACATCATGTCCCTTACCTGCCAAGGCGTATTCTCTTGCGTGCAATAGCTCCCCGATAGCGTCTAAAATCATCCTTTAATTAACAATAACAAAAAAGACAGTAAAATCAATTTCTAATATTTTACTGCTACAATCTTCAAATATCTTTCTCCTAAGTGCATTGGAATGGCAAAGTAGGAGGCAACGTCTCTGTGACCTACCCTCACAAATCCTAACGTCTGTGTTGAATCCACAGAGGGCAGTTGCACCCCTACAAGGTCAACTTCTATAGTTATTTGCATTCTTTTTTAAAAGTGGAGATWATTTTGATTTCTGTTACCAGAATTATACATAAATCTCACTATATGGTTTTTAGGAAAGGCAAGTGTTGGTAATAAGGCAGTTCCTGGGTGAGGACCAAACACACTTCCTGTGGAGGTGACCCAGCACTGAGGACTGGATTGTCGAAACACATGACTAAACCAGTCAGGGTCACTCAAGGTGAACTGGGYTGGCACGAAATAATCACACAGAGATAGAGAAATACCTTTTTCTTTGGGTTCTGTGACTGCTCCTCTGACCCAGCTCCCACAATGGGGGCAAGGTGGGCAAGAAAGAGTGAGGAGCACTTGCTGCACCATTTTATCAGGGAGAAGCCATTCAAATGAGGCAAGGGGTGGGATTACAAAGGAACAGGTGAGTGTAACTCAACCCCCATGGGTGACGCCTACACCTGGAGCCACACTTAGCTATCTAAGTAACACCCAAGTTACTGTGAGACTGGCACTATGTGCCAGACAGAAGGCAATAATTGGTCAGTGCCCCTGGGCATCAGGACTTGAAGGTCTGCATCCAGGGCAGCTCSCGACACTGGATGGAAGAAGTAAGARCAGATTCAGAAGAGGGAGGTGCAGAAGGTCAAGTACTACTCCAGCGTGCACCTGAGTACAGGCTCCAGCACCTCCGTCATTTCAACAAATCAGCAGTGATTTGGGGTGGGGACAAAAAAAGCCCATTTTACTTTGTTAAGAATAGAAGAAGGAAAACCAAAGGGAAAAAAAAAAAATCCAAGCCATCAAGGTTGCTGCTGGTGGGAGGAAATTCTGAGTAGGACTCTGGACCCACAGTTCTGATTGTCAAAGCTCACGTGGTAATAACTGACCTTTGAAATGGGTTCAATTCTGGGGAAGACGATGAGTTCTTCCTTATCATCAACAGCATTATAAATGAGAAAAGCACTGTTGATGTGGCGGCCTCGGCCTTCGGACCATTCCTGACAGTTGAAGGCCTCCACGCGCACTCCAACCTCCACRCTGCAATGGCGAGGCAGGGGATGGGCAAGACAACCAGGGCTCAGCAGCCTTCCCTGCCCACCACCACCTCCTCCCAGCAACAGGAGACAAGGCCCTAGTTATGTTTGTTGTCAGCAAATCTGTACAACTATTAAAACCCACTTTTAGTTCATTRGGCTGGTTTGCAGAAGCCCCTGAGAGCATTTCCACTTTCCCACTTTCAAGAGGGAGAAAGGCCACTCTGGGTTTTACATGTAAATACACTTTATGAACACAGTTCATAATGGGGTGGGGGGAGGTTAAAGCTATAAAGAGTATTTAATATCAGAAATATTTAATTTCTGAAATATTCTTTTTTACATTTAAAAAGATGAAAATACTAAATAAAATGTTTGCATTATGTATCAAGAATAACAAAAATAACTGGGAAGTAGTTTGGATTCATGGTGGTAAATAGGTTCATTATGAGCTATTTGCYCATAAGGTCACTAAGGCACTTACATGGCTGAAAGGAAGAATTAATAATTTTTCCAGGATAACTGGCACAAACCAGAGCCATCCTGGGCCATCTGCCACATGTGCCCACCCTTATGAGACAAAACACCCAATCCACCACAGTTTACTGTGTAAGGAGGGCCCAAGCAGAACACAGGCTTAAAATGTGCGTCCATGAATTTTGAAGATMGAAATTTAAAAAAATCAGAAGGAATTTGGTTAAAGTAGTCCCTCCATTCACCTCCAGATTGAACTAAAAACAATTATATATGTGCAAATTTGAGCCTCAGAGCACTCTTTACCAGGTCTGAAATGTATTGTTGACAATGGAGTTGAAGACAAGACGGTCTCCGACTGTAGATGGTCCCCGGAACTTAAACATGTCCACAGACTTCAGAAAGGGATGCCCCTTACACAGGYGGCTGAGGAAACAAAGGGAAGGAGAGAGAAGACAACAATTACTGTCCAAAATATTTTCGTGAACTGTTGATTCACTGAATGGATGCAATAGACAAATACCCAGCCTGTTTTCTAAACAAAGAACTCTTAACTGGATGTGTGYATTGCAAGTGGTTTTGTACATGACCAAAAATATTTGGTAAACTCCAACTTCAACATGTCCCCAAGTAGTGGGGGCTTTACCAAGATGTTGGTGATTTACTCCTATCTTGCTGTCTCTGGAAGTACCACTGAAAAACAAACTGATGCCTTTTGTCCTAATTTGAGGGTTATATTGATCCTGATAGCGGTGACTACAGACCCAGGAAGGTGTGACTGTCAAGTTGGAGACAAGAGAAGACAGCTGCCTGCTAGTGCCATTCCTTAGCTTGGCCTAACTGAAATCATCTTTAGATCAAAAGGCAAACTTATTTTCCTCACAATTTACCTGGATGGTTGCACAAAGCCTGAAAGGCTAAAAGGTACACATTTTACAATGTTTGTGTGCATGGAATTTAGAAATAGCTATAAAGTATTTAATTTCAGAAGTTACCTGAATAATTTTCTACATTTTCTATTCCTACTGTACTCATTCAGTTACTCCAAAGAATTATGCTAACACTAAGTGAATAGCTTCTGCCATTGTTAATTATATGGTAAGTTTTTTACAGTAGAACATGTTCAAGTTCACATCCTTTTTGTCTTTAAGAATGACAATCTCATTTAAAAAAACAAGCTCTCTTATTTTGTGCATAATTTGTAGAAAGGATAACTATAGGCTTCTAATTTTAGTCATAACTATAGACAGGCTAATAATAAAATTCTTTTAATTTGGAGGAAATAAAACCTTAATTTTCAGTAATTACAAAAATTGTCAGAAGGGCAGATCCTGTTCATAGGCATTTCCAGAGTATAGAGTGTTCCTTAAACTGCTCAATAACCTACATGGTTCCAGTAAGAATAAAATAACCTTTTCAGAAATTGAGGAAAGTTTAATAGTATTCTTCCAAGGACTCCCCTCTTTCTCTTYTTATTCTTTCAGTTAATTCTTTGGCCATAATGATTTTAACCAGCACTTTTAAAGGTCAGACTTAATTGTAAATTGCCTTTAAAAAGTTTGTTACTCKACTCATTTTAAACTTATCACAGTAAGTTGCATTGTTACCCAATCAACGTTTAAAATTCAGAATAAAGTATTCAAACTATGAATTCAGTTTTACATTTGAGCCAAGAACTTAAAAATATTCACATTCACATGAAAGGATGGATTCATCCCAAGGGAAGCTAGTAAGTGATGAATTATTTCCTCATTCTGATAAAAGGCAGCATTTTGCTCCATTCTCTCCCTGACTCCTTGACTAGTCCAATAACTAGAGCTCAGACGCTTTCCAATTGTCTCCCCACTTGTTCCCCAATCACACACCAAAGGTCAAAACCAAGAACCTTGCAGAAATAGTTGCCACTGTCTCCATCCAAGCCATAATCTGGCCACCAAATGTGTTCCCGTGATGGTTTGCGTGGGGTGGCAGCACAAGTTCAATGCTCTGAACAGCAGTGCCCCTGGTGGCCACGGTCCCTTCCTCTTCATCGCAAGCAGGATCTGAAAGGGTTGAAACAGCAGCAATGGTGGAGTCAGCCAGGGGACCTGGGCTACGGCTTTACCTTCTCAGCAGCAAACTCAGCTCTAGGACTCTCAGAAAAATGAAATCGTTTTTAAAAACTAAAAACTGAAGAAGCAAGTGCATAGGGTTAGGATACCAGCTCAGAAAGGCCCTCTCCCAACCTATCTAACCAATCCACCTGAATCTTGATTAAAGGAATGCTTGATTAAATTTCATTTAATACTTTCATTTAAACCCCAGTTGTTTGGAGGTGGGAGAAAGGTGGGAAGGGCATAAATTTGGGGGGTGATGGATATGTCATTATCTTGATTGTGGTGATRGGTTTTTACAGGTGCACACTCATGTCAGAGCTTCTCAAGTTACTTGCTTTAAATAAGGGTCATTTAAGCTTGTCAATTATACCTCAATAAAGTCATTAAAAATAAAGGAATTTAAGCTATGAAGGGCCACAGACACAGAGAATCTGGAGCACTGTAAACTTCAGAGTAGGGATGTGGCCTTCTGTGCAAACTGTCTTGTGATGAACKCGGTAACAGCAGAAAAGACACAATCTGCTGTACTTCTCCATGTCCTTCTGCTTCTTTTGAATCGTATCAGCTTCATTTACAGACAAATTGGTTTTTACTCTCAACAATGGAGAAATCATTTACTCCAGATGCAAAGCAGTAAAACGTATTCAAATGTGCTTCCTGCATCACCCAGTGAATCACCAGCTAGGCTGAAATCTCACGCACCATTATTAGGAAAGTGGGAGGGAGATTTACAAAACCCAGAGAACCACATTGGTTGGACTGTCAGAGCAAGCCGATCTGGCAGTGGGAGAGCACAGATGTAGCTGATGTTGGTAACAGGGAATGGGCTGCTCTTGAAGCAGTTCCTCCTAGGTTACCAAGAAGGGTATACAGAGACCTTTAACTCCACTTCCTAATGGAATTTTTAGATTTCTAATTGATGGTCTTTTACTTTTATTTTTCCCCTTTTGTTTAATTGATCATTTCAGTTTCCTGCTTAAAACTTGTTAGTGGCTACTGTTGTTCTAGCATGAAGTGCCAAATCCTTCCCATAGCCTCCAAGCCCTTTACTCTGCTCCAGCCATGCCTGTCTCCAGCCACAGCTGTTATGATGACCGCCAACGTCACCATCATGTTCTTCCTTGCTTGCTCCCTCCCACTTTCCAACCCTTCAACCACATTGACCTTTTTTTTTCAGTTGCCCCCTCCAAAAACAAAATAAACAAACAAACAACAACAACAACAACAACAACAACAAATCAGAGAATTTGCATTAGTCTACTCTGAAACAGTTTCCCTGGTCACCACTACTACCCGCCACCACTTCACTCCTATTTTATCTTGGCTCATCTCAGTGATCACTTTCTCAGTAAAGCCTTCCCTGATAGCCACAGCTACGTTCTGCTATTAAGAACCCTTCTCTCTCTCTCTCTCTCTCTCTCTCTCTCTCTCTCTCTCTCTGCTAAAGCTTTATGTTCATTTGTGCAATCTTCTGTGATCTGACCCACTAGATCCTAAGCTCCTGGGGGGCAGGGACTATGAAATTTTTATTCTCATCTAATTCTCGAACATGAGTACTCAAAATTTATTGAATGAATGAATGAATGAACTTTGCTTTGTTGATTCACTTTACATTCATGATGCTTACTCTCAACAGAACATTTTTAGGACATGTAATAGTTGTACTGTATCACACTTCTGACTGCTGTTTATGAGAGTTTCCTTTGCTTCCCATTTTGCTTAAACAGTGTTATCAGACACCCATTCTCTCCTATTTAGTGGCTATGAAATGTTGGCTACAGTTTGCATTTCTATGATTCCTTGTGAGGTCTAATGTCCTTTCTTATTAAACCTTCTTAGTATGTCTACAGGCTTCAAGGGGTTAAGTTTGATACTCACACTTTGGGTGTTTTCATGGCAGTGTGTCATAATTCAATGGACAATTTTACATTCACTCCACATTTTTAGGTCAGAACTGTGACCTGAACTGAGGTCATTCTAGCTCTTGTTTTCATTCTGCATATCCAGAAAGGCTCAGCCCCAGAGTAATGCTCTTAAAGTCTGATTCCTTACTGAAAATGTGTAATTAAAATGCTTCAAATATTGTTTCCCCCCAGAATGCCATCCTCTAAACAATGACCCAGTGGTACAAAAGCTTTTCCCCCCAAAGTCCTCCTTTTACAAAACCTAATATTACACATCTTTACCTTCTTCCTTAAGAAAGCACAGGATGTGGRTTCAACTTTCTTGCTGTTAGAACAGCATGCATTTCCATTATACAACACCTTGAAATCCACACTATTATATCTGATTGTATAACTAGTATAGAACCCTGGTTTTCTAAAAAATACACTTCAATTACAGACATGATCTGGCTACTTTATTTTAGAATATATTGTTTAATCCAAAACAGCCATCATATCCAAGTGGGCAGCAAGTGGACAGATCGCTCTCTACTGCATTTTGAAGTGTCAGGGTCTAGTGCTTACATTCTTCTGGAGAAACTGCCATTAAGTTCCATGTCACAGGTGGTGTAGAAGTTAGTAAAATTTCCAAAAAGAGCAAATCAATAGAGTTATGGTAACAGTTGTTTTGTCCAAAAGAATGTAATCTATTTTAGGCTAGATTAAGTGAAACCAATGATAAAAGCAGCATTTTWAAAAAAATCTATAATTCTAAATTAATCCAGACATATAGATCTGTTGCAACCAACCTCCTAACAAACTGAAACCAAAGTCAATTTCAATCATTTTATCCCTACATTGAATGCCTATAGCATGTTCCTGTTATAAATTAATTTAGAACGTCTCCAGTGCTTAAAGTAGTGTTGACAAATTGCTGCAATTTTGTTTATTGATATAACTTGTGTAATGACAGAAGGAGCCAACTCAAGTCACCTGAGTTCACCTGGTAAGTGGGCTGAAGTCACTAGACCTGGCAACCCTTCCTAATAGACTAACCCTTACAGAGAGGTCAGAGCCTCACAGAGTACCATAAATTCCTCCCAAATAATTTTCAGATGTTTGAAATACAAGAGAATCACCTTTCTCTTGTAACCAACCTCTCTCTCAATAATCATTTTTATCATCATCTTGATCAGCCTGGAACCACGACCAAGTTTTCCTATTCTGAAAAACAATTCCCTTTGAACTTGAGAGTCCCCTCTAGCTCCAAGCTGTTTCTTTCATCCTTCTCAGAAAAGTTCCTCAAAGTACAGTCTTTAACTGTCCTCCTATGAATGGAGACCTCTCGAATAGCAATATTAATACCAGCCCTTTCTGCATATTCAGCGTTGTTTGGAGCAATCTATGTATATTATTTCATCTTGACACAAATCTATCACATACGTACGTTTATTATTTCCATTTTACAATTCTTATTTGTTTACTTTTTACTTCACCCTAGTGAGCTAAGAAGAACAAAGTGAGAGGTCCTGGTGGTAGACAGCAAGTACTGGGATAAGAAAAGAAAAAGAGCAACTACGTGCTAGCCAGTAACTAGCACTGACTGCCAGAGGAAGTAGATGAGGCTCTGAGTCCCCAACTTCTAGCCATTCCGCCTTAGGATTGGCTGAGYCAGTGGAAGGAAGCCACTGTCTCTGTTGTGGATAGCTTAGGGGCGTGCAGCCACAGAGACCAGGGGGGATCAGACTCCACCTCCGATGGCTTGAGTGCAGGAGAACACCTAGAGAGAACCGAGTTCCTGTGAAATGCCAGTGCTGCTGTGGGACACTCCTGCTGGTTTGGATGACACTGAGATCCAGTTCAATGTCCCAGTTTCCCTTAAAAGCAGAGGCTCTGATATAGCCAAGCTGCACTAAGAGCTGTAATGGCCACCATATCCCTTACCATCCACACCTGCTGCAAAGGACTTGGGCTGTCAGGGGTGGGGACGCTGATGGCTCTTCTTACTTTATCCACCACCTCTAAGTGAAATTTTTTTAAAAAAAATAATAAGGCTTAGAGGCTGAGACCAGGGCTCAGCTTTTTTACTATCACTAATGTAAAATTGTGAATGTAAAATTGTGCGATTGAATTATGACACACTACTATGCATAGCACATGTGAGGCCCTGAATTCGATCCTCAGCACCATATAAATAAATAAAATAAAAGTATTGTTCCATCTACAACTAAAACTATATAGTTAAAAAAATTTAAAAATTTAAAAAGGCCTAGTATTAAGAGTTTAATTTGGCATGAGTATATATGTTTTAACTCCTTTCCTCTTCTCTCACAACCGTTGTCTGGCTCAGGAACACCTTATCTCTTGCTGGGTATTATGGTTTAGATATGAGGTGTTCCCCAAAAGCTCATGTGTGAGACAATGCAAGAAAGTTTAGAGGTAAAATGATTGGGTCATGAGAACCTCAACCCACTTATTGAATTAATCCTGGTGGGGATTAACTGAGTGGTGAATGCAGGCAGGTAGGTCATGGCTGGAGGAGGTGGGTCACTAGGGGCGTGCCTTTGGGATATATATTTCATACTTGGTCAGTGGAGTCTCTCTCTCTCTCTCCCCTTCCTGGTGTGTTTCCCTCCACCATGCTCTTCTGCCATGATGTTCTGCCTCACCTCCAGCACCAAGGAATGGAGCCAGCTGTCTACAGACTGAGACCTCTGAAACCATGAGCCCCAAATAAACTTTTCTTTCTCTAAAATTGTTCTTGTSGGGTATTTTAGTGATAGTAAAAAAGTTGAGTACACCTGGTCTCCTCCCTCTACCCAGAGAGGTCATACTGAGTTCCAAACTAATCATGCCACAGTCTGCTCAGAATCCTTCCTCTGTGGCTCCCATGTAGGACTAAAGAATTTCTGAACATGCCTGAGAGTGCCTCTATGGCACAGTCCTGTCTTCAATTTCTCCCTCTTCTGTTTTGAGTTTCCCTGTGGAATGCTCTTGTGATGGTGGATCCCTAACACAGCCTGTGGGTTTGTGCCACCGGGTCACTGCTCACACTGTCACTTGTTTCACCTTCTTGGCTCTCTCATGGTCAGGGGGTCTTTTTTGAACTCCCTGAGCGTTCCTACTCTGGGCTTCCACCATATTTGGAACCTACAATGCTCTTTTCAATCTCTACATTATTTTTAAACTACTCAAATGTCTGTCTCAGGCAGTAAACTTTGAGTTTTGCAAGAGCAAAGTCTCTGCACTGTTCATCTTTTTTTTTTTTGCCTTTGCAGCAAGCATGTTCCTGGCACAAAGAGGGCATTGAATACACACGTATTGGAGAGAATGAAGCAGGCAGCATTCCTCTCTCTCTCTGCTTAGGAGGAAGGAGCTCATTCTTCTGTATGACTGTACAGAAGCTTACCTATAATCACATCTATACTCCTCCTCCAGCCAGACTGCGGCATTGGTGCTGATAACGCCAAGGTTGCGGGTTCCATCCCCATACAGGCCACCAAATGCTGCAGTCTGGCTGGGCACAATTCAGGAGCCACTTGTCAAAAGAAACTAACTTTATTTTTAGAACCACACACTCCAAACAAAACAGCTCCTCAGGAAAAACCCAGAGAACCCAACTGCCACCACCGGCTTCCCACAAGCCTCTCCCCCAACCACAAGCCTCTCCACCTCCCACAATCCTCCTGCTCTTGAGGCTGATTGGCTGGGTCGCGTGGGCGGAGCCAAAAAAGTCCCCCAATGAGCAGCTCCTTAGTCTGAAAAGCAGGGAAACAGCCCAATGAGCATCACYGCAGAGGAGCCAATSAGCTAGAWGKTGCTGGGGCCRCTGTGAGCCAATCATCAGCTGGCAGTCTGAAAGATTGCTGGGGCCCCTTCGGCTGTGGCTCTCAACAACCAAGTTTTTCCTATCATGGAAAATGATGCTCCTTTCCCTTAAGGGTCTCTAGAGCTCTTCTAGCTCTAGTTTCTCAAAGCAGAAACCTTTGAAAACCTCTTCCACCCCAGAGGCCTTCTATGGGATTGTCCCAGGACCTTGATGACGTCATGTGGGCAGAATGAGACCCACACACTTCTGCCACTCCAGCTTCTGCCTTTCTCAAGCCTTTGGTCTCTATGTATTCCTTTTCCTCCTACCTCACCTTCCATCCTCCCCCTCCTCCCTCACTGGTTCATCCCCCTGGGGCTTTGGAAGATGGCATCAGACAAAAAGGAATGGCAGGGGGAGGGAAGGGGTTCCAACAAGGTTTCAAAGAACCTGGAAAATCACTGCCAGAGAACGAAGAAAGCTTGTTTCATAAAACCCAGTGTTATYTGGAAAGTGCCAGGAAATAAGAGCAGAATCTTATCCCTTCTGTTTTATATCATATGGGATCTTTAGCAAGTTTCTTCCCAGCTCAGAGTTGCAGCTTCCTCTCTGTTGGCGCTACGTACAGCTCTTATGAAGCCAAGGGTGTGTGAGCTGTGGAGCACCATGTTGGAGTATGGCTAGGTCATCCTCCATCTGTCACACTGAGTGTTATAACTACAGCTGCCTAGTCCCTTATTCGCCAGCTCCTTCCCTGGATATTCTCTGACTTAAACATGACCTAGCCAATCAACAAATGGGTCAAAGACCTGAACAGACACTTCTCAGAAGAGGATATACAATCAATCAACAAATACACAAAAAACTGCTCACCATCGCTAGCAATCAGAAATGCAAATTAAAACTACTCTAAGACACCATCTCACTCCAGTAAGAGTGGCAGCCATTATGAAGTCAAACAACAACAAGTGCTGGCGAGGATGTGGGGAAAAGGGCACACTCATACATTGCTGGTGGGACTGCAAATTGGTGTAGCCAATTTGGAAAGCAGTATGGAGATTCCTTGGAAAGCTGGGATAGAACCACCATTTGACCCAGCTATTCCTCTTCTCGGACTATACCCCAAAGACCTTAAAACAGCATACTACAGGGACACAGCCACATCAATGTTTATAGCAGCACAATTCACAATAGCTAAACTGTGGAGCCAACCTAGATGCCCTTCAATGGATGAATGGATTAAAAAATGTGGCATTTATACACAATGGAATATTACTCAGCACTAAAAAATAACATGATYGTGGCATTTGCAGGGAAATGGGTGGCATTAGAGCAGATTATGCTAAGTGAAGTTAACCAATCCCTAAAAARCAAATGCCAAATGTCTTCTCTGATATAAGAGGGGTGACTAAAAATGGAGTAGGGAGGAAGAGCATGAGAAGAAGATTACCACTAAATAGGGAAGAGTGGTGGGAGGGAAGGGAAGGGAGAAGGGGAATTGCACGGAAGATGGAAGGAGACCCTCATCATTATAGAGAATACATGTATGATGATGTGAGGGGAAAAAAAAAAGAAGTGTGTCACATTAGATTGGGTAGAGAGAAGTGATGGGARGGGAGGGGAGGGGAAGGGGTGAAAGGAAGGACAGCAGAATAAAATAGACACCATTATTGCTGTATGTATATATACGTGACTGCATGACCAATATGATTCTGCAACCTGTATACTCAGAAAAAGGAGAAATTATATCCCATCTGATTCAAATGTATGATATGTCAAGATCATTGTACTGTCATATGTAACTAATTAAAACAAATTAAAAAAAGATGACTTAGGTGTCATCAATTATATTCCAATTATATTATATACTATATATTACTTTTCCAGCCACTCAGTTTGTTGCAAAAGATATCCAGCAACATCAGGACTGAACTGTACAGTGGAAATAAGTGTGTCCTAAAAAAGGACCCAGTCACTCGCACTAGTCATGAGAAGTTCTTAGGGGTGGATCTGCTGACCTTCCAAACTGCTACTTTCCTTCATTAAGTTGTTAAAAGTATCTTCATGTTGTAACCGAACTTTCCTTCTCTCAGAAGCCAGAGTATGCTCCACTTGATCTTGTTCAGTTAGAAGTATGACTGGTTTTAAGTGAATCTGAAAAAAGAAAATAATTCACTTTTATTGCCTTATTAAGTTATAAAAATACAACATGAATTTTGTAAAAACAAATGATATGTTACATGGTTTTGTAACTCAAGTAAAGAGAGAAGTTATAAACATTTTCACTAAACATCTTCTAACTTTTTTTCTCAAAAAATTTTCAAATTTAAAAAATTGGAATATGTGTATTATATTTACTGTAGTATGGTATATTAATTATTTCTACATCAAATATGTACCTTTAAAATTATTCTTATTTATTTTACATTATTTAAAAATGGTTCCACAGAACTATGAAATATGGCATTCTTCAGATAAATGAATGGGGGTAGGGGTTGTGATTTCCCCTGAATTATTCTGGTGAATTCTTAACAAGAAATGTTTTCTATTTTTTGAAAAATTAAGACACCAAAGAGAGGAGGAGGGGAATAATTATGTTCTAGAGAAAGCTATCTTGTCCCAGGAGATATTTCCKATTTGGAAACTTCATCACATGGTAAAAACATTAATAAGCAAACTGAAATAATCAATATGTCAGAATAAAGCTTTAGCTGACCTCCAGAAACCTGGGTATGTGACGAAAGAATACCAAGGGCACACGCTGCCCTGCAGATGCCCGTCTCTGACTGTGTGTGAAGGGACAGGCTGGCTCCAGGCTCATTTCAGGTCCTGACCCTTGGCCTGGATAAGATTAAGCCAAGCTAGTGATTCATAATATGTTGCCTAAAGYCCAAAGCTCCCCTGGGCTGCCTTGTCTCATCTGGTCAGGAATGAGTCGATGGACAKCTTACATTGGTTTGACTTATTATTATAAACAGGACAATATACATATATCTTAGTGATTCCTAATCCTCAAAATACATCATGTGTGATCCTGGGGAAAGATCCTGGGAACTATCCACTGCAGAAAGTGGAACCTCTCTGATGTTGGCCTGGGCCTTTTTTCCCTGGCTGTACCATCTCCGTTAGCTTTAGTGAGCCTTGGAGTCCTGTGTGTCCTCTCCATGATCTATGTTATTGCTAGTTAATCATTGCCAACTTCATCCTGGAATAAACTCTCTTTGGACAGGTATCCAGGTAGTCTTGTCAGTTCAAATCATGGCTCTCTTCACGATGTGCTACTGAACGAGAATGTTACCAACTWGAAAATCTGTTAATCTGGGAAAAGTACTTTACAATTGATGTTCTCTGAACCAGCCAATTACGGCAGCAGCTCAAAGAGCTGACTGCTCAGAAAGGCCCTCAGAAACCAGTTCTTCTGTCTCAGCAGAGAGTGGACTGAGATGTGACAATTATGTGCTTAGCCACACATTCCTGAATTCAGTGAGGAGTCTGAGGCTAGAGGGAGTAAACAGTGTGGTTCTCCTCTGCCACATGAGGGAAGGCTGGCCATGTATACTCCTTCCTGTCACTTGCTGTCAGATATGCAAACTTGCCACCTGCCCCCATAATTTTCTAATTCCCAAGAGTTTAGAGATTTCATGAAAAACAGAAAGGTTGGAAAGATATGTCCCATTGTCTCAGATTTTCATGAACATGGGATGCCTGGAATCCCCATCAAAATACAAATTCCGAGTTCTTAACACTGGTGATTCTACTCCCAGAAAGCTGCATTTGARATAATATAACTAGCTGATGTGAACTTTAGTTTGAAAAGCAGCACCTTGGGCACTATGAATTTTCCTTGCAGCATGTTTAAATCAGGCCTAGAGTGGAAGATGTGCCYCAGGGGACAAAATCCTGTGGCAACATATGCCACCCAAGCATCATGGTGGCCCAGCTGGTGTGCACAGCTTCTGCCTTCTCTGTGGGATGCTGTGGAAACACTGCTTTGTCCCAGCTCCAAGCCRGAGGCAGTCTGAGGAAGAACTTGCATACTCTGCCAGAAGGAGACCCCCTGTCACTTCCAAGTGGAGCTAGGAGAAGTCACTGTGCCTACCCCTGGAGCAATCCTTGGAGTGAAACATTTAAATCATAATTTGAATTATTACTTTTTAATAATGTTTAGACTACATGGGGTCCTTACCCTGAGCAGGAATGTCAAGAAATGATAGTGAGGAATTCTGAAGCAGCCCCTGGATGARCATGTGCATCAGGACAAAGTTTAAGGGTGCCCCAAAGCTTGTTTTCAAAGTTCAATAACTGAGCAACTTTGACGTTTTTCCTTCAAGTATAAATGATTAAACCATAATATCCAACYACTTGATACATTACTCCTGCTTTTTTTTTAAAAAAATAACTATTTTAACTAAATTTTCAAGTTTTCAAAAGAAAAGAACTAAACTAGTAGGAAATCTTTTAAAAGTGAGATGACTTTCAGGTCATTTTGTTTTCCTTCTTTCTCCAACTGACTACATCTCCTGTTCTCTAAGGTCCTAGGTCTGGAAAGATCTTATTACTTAAATCCTATGATGTTACCATAGAATCGTAACTTTATGGTAAACATTGATGAATTAAAAATCCTGGGAAATGTGTCTCCTGGTAAGAAGAAATGTCCTTTCCCCTGTAATAATTCTGATGCTTTCGTTACTATGTCCCTGATTTTACATGAAGAGATGCCTCTTTACGTAGGAAATTTACCTTTTCTTTTCCAACTGGTTTGGCTACAAATGTAGAGAAAGCCACACTAACAAGTTTCTCAATGTCCATCAATGTGTCCTGTACCATGACCTTGATACTGATCTAAAAGGAAAAGAAAAATAAACAAATTTTCAGTCATCCAGAGAGCAGATTTGATCACAGCATTCAAAATTCAGTTATGTACTTYGCCATTCTTAACTTTTTTTWAAATGAGACCAGCATTTTAATTTATTTTTAAGCAGTACTATTCTTTCAATGATGTTCTATAAAATTGGATAAATAACTTTTATCTGYCTAYAGGAAAYATAYATTTGCCATGGAAAATTTATGAAATCTGATTACCCAGAGTAAAATTTSCAGTAATCCTATCACCTAGAGATAATCTATTAAACTTTAGATGAATTGTCTTCTAGTTTTTATATATTTTTATATGTATATGTGCATATAMAAACATACRTACATACAAACTAGTTTATATATATAAATACACACAAAATATGTACACATAAATATATATTATATATGAAATATATATTTTATAAAGCATACATAAAATGCATATATGTATATACACATTATAAAATATAATACTTTATTTATGGTTTTATACTACAATTTTTAAAATTTTGGCATTTT